GTATGTGACAAGATCCATTTTTTCAGTGAGAGAGAGAGAGAGAGAGAGAGAGAGAGAGAGAGAGAGAGAGAGAGAGAGAGAGAGAGAGAGAGAGAGAGAGAGAGAGAGAGAGAGAGAGAGAGAGAGAGAGAGAGAGAGTGAGAGAGAGAGAGAGGGAGAGAGGAGGGAGAGGAGAGAGGGGAGAGGAGAGGGAGAGGAGAGGGAAGAGGGAGAGAGAGGAGAGGAGAGAGAGAGAGAGAGCAGAGAGAGAGGAGAGAGAAGAGGAGAGAGAGAGAGAGAGAGAGAGAGAGAGAGAGAAGAGAGGAGACCGAGGAGAGAGAGAGAGAGAGAGAGAGAGAGAGAGAGAGAGAGAGAGAGAGGAGAGAGAGAGAGAGAGAGAGAGAGAGAGAGAGAGAGAGAGAGAGAGAGAGAGAGAGAGAAGAGAGAGAGAGAGAGAGAGAGAGAAGAGGAGAGAGGAGAGAGGAGAAGAGAGTTAGAGAGGAGGAAGGAGAGAGAGAAGAGAGAAGAGAGAGAGAGAGAGAGAGAAGAGAGGAGAGGGACGAGGAAGGAGAGAGAAAGAGAGAGAAGAGAGAGAGGGGAAGGNTTCGGTGGTCCTTGTTGATGGGGTTTGCTTGTTTTTTTGGTTGTTATTGGGGGATTGGTTGGTGGTGCTGGTGTTATTGGTGGTGTTTTTCGCTGTTGATGTTGTTTTTTTTTGGTCGTTATTTGGGGATTGGTGGTTGGTGTTATAGGCGGAGTTGTTTTTTTTTTTTTTTTTTGGGTGGTGCGTGGCGCCGGTGTTTATTCTTGTTGGTGTTAGCGGTGTTGGTGGTGGTGTTATGGGTGTGGTGTAGGCGGTGGTTGTTGTAATTTCTGGCGTTATTGATGTTTGGTGGTAGTTGTTTTGGTTTGTTGTTGGTGGTTGCATGGGTGTAGGCAGTTGGTGTTGTTGGGTGGTAGTGGTGTTGTTGTTTGGCTTATTTGGGTTGTTGTGGTGGCGATATTGGTGTTGTTGTGGTTGTGTTATTGTGTTGGTGGTGCGTGGTGTTATTGGTGTTCTTTGGTGGTGGTGGTGTAATTGTTGTTGGTCGTGGTGGGTTATTGGTTGGTGATGTGATTGGTGTTATTGTGTTGTGTTTATGGTGTTGGTGTTTTTGGTGGTGGTGGTGATGTTGGTAGGGAAGGCGTTATTGGTGGTGGTGGTGGTGTGGTTGGTGTTGTAGTTGCTGCGTGTGGTTGGTGCTATTGGTGTGTTTTTGGTTAGTGATTGGTGTAATTGTTGTTGGTGGTGGTGCTATTGGTGGTGATGTTGATGGTGTGTGTTGCTTGCTGTTTGGTGTTGGTGGTGTTGGTGGTGGTGTTTTGGTGTGTAGTTGTTGGTGATGATGATGGTGAGACGTGTTTAGTTTATTGTTGCTGTTGTTGATATCAATGTTGTTACGGGTGTTGTTGTTGAGTTGTATTTTCATTGTATTAATTGTTTTAATTCCTCCATTCTAACCTTCCTCTTCTTCTCCCTCTTCTTCGTCTGTCTCTCTCTTTCATTCCGCTTTTCATCTTCCTTCTTTTCTCCTTTCTTTCTCTCTTTTTTCTTCTCTCCTCTCCCCTTCTTCCTTTCTTTCTCTCTCTTCTCTGTCTCTCTCTCTCTCTGTCTCTCTCTCTCTCTGTCTCTGTCTCTCTCTCTCTCTCTCTCTCTCTCTCTCTCTCTCTCTCTCTCTCTCTCTCTCTCTCTCTCTCTCTCTCTCTCTCTCTCTCTCTCTCTCTCTCTTTCTCTCTTTCCCCTCTCCATCTTCCCCCCTTTCTCCCTCTCTCCCCTCTCTCTTCATTCCTCTTTCTCTCTCCATCTCTCTTCGCATTTATTTCCCCCTCTCCCTCTCTCTCCTCCTCTCTCTCTCTCTCTCCCATCTCTCTTCCCATCTATTTCTCTTCCCACCTCCCTCTCTCTCCTCCCTCCCTCTCCCTCCCTCCTCTCCCACCTCCCTCTCCCTTCCTCCCCCCACCTTCCCCCTCCCTCTCTCTCCTCCTCCCCCCTCTCCTCTCTTTCCTCTCCCTCCCTCTCTCTTCACCCCCCTCCCTCCCTCCCCCCCTCCCTCTCCTCCCCTCCCTCCCCTCCCTCTCCCCTCCCTCCTCCGCCAGCCTTTCAACCAATTTGCTTAATATCTCGTCTATTTTCACTCCTAATCACCCCGAACGAGCAGTTACTCCACAAAACAGGTCGTTTGGAGTTTGGAGTGGTCGGGCGTTTTTTGTTTTGTTTGTTTTTTTTCTACGCGCGTGTGTGTGGGAGTGTGTTGGAGGTTAGGCGAGGGTTGGAGGAAGCGTGGGGAGGGGAGGAAGGTTGGGAGGAGGGTGGGGGGGTGGTGGAAGGGTGGGAGTGTGTTGGAGAGGAGCGGGTGGAAGAGTGGAGGACGGAGGGGGAAGGGGAAGGGGTCGGTGGTGTGTTTGGGGGGGGGAGGGGTGTGAGGGGTGAGAGGAAGGGATGGGGAAGGGGAAGAGGTGGGGGGGTGAAGGGTGTTGGTGTAGAAAGATAGGAGAAGTGGGGGGGAAAGGGGCTTGTTGTGTGTGTGGGGTGTGTTTGTGTGTGTATAATGGTGTGGGGAGGAGGAGGGGCGATTGGTGGGTGGAGGAGGGTGATGGGCGGTGGGCAGGATTAGGGTGTGTGTGGGGTGGAGGGGGTGGAAGGGAGTGGGGGAAGGCAGTGTGTGTGTGGGGTTTTGTGGTGGGTGGAGGGGGGTAGGTAGGTGGGTGGGGTGAGCGTTTTGTGTAGGGGGTGGGAGGGAGGGGGAGGGATGTATGTGTGTGTGTGTGTAAGAGAGAAGGAGAGAGAGAGGACAGAAAAAAAAGGAAGTGATTAATAAGGAAAGGGAGGAAGATGGAATGAGAAAGAAGGGAGAGAGGGAACGAGGAAGAAGGAGGAGGGACAGAGAAGAGTGAACGAGGAAGAGAATAGAGAATAGTGACGAGAGAAAGAGAGAATGAAGAGAGGTAAAGAGAAAAGTGAGAGAGAAGGGGTGGAGGAGGGGAAGAGAGGGAGAGAAGAGAGAAAGAGTAAAGAGGTAAAGAGAAAAAAAAAGTGAGAGAAAAAAAAGGGAAGAGAAACAGAACAGAAAAAAACAGACACAGACACGAAGACGGAAAGACAGACAGACACAAAAGAAAGGGATTCATCTCCGCTTTCAACCCTTTCGGAAAATGAGAGGAAGAGAGGAGAGAGAAGAGAGGGAGAGAGAGTAGAGGGGTAGGAGGAGGGGGGAGAGGGAGGGAGGCCAGGGGTGTATACCTAAGAGAGAGGAGTAGGGAGGAGGGGGAGGGAGAGAGAGAGAGAGAGGAGAGAAATGGCTTCAATAGGAAGTATATCAGTTTATTTCGTCTATTACACTATCTCCTCGCTATGTATTGGAGCTGCGTTGGTCGTCAACGGGATTAATTCTGTCCGCCATTTTCGCCAATTCCCGGATGTGAGTTTTGGCGCCTCTTGTGTGTTTGTAGTGTTGCCATTCGAGCGCTTTTCTCGCTAGATCTAGCGTTTTTTCTTTCTTTCTTTTAGTTATGATCTATCGGGATCTTTTCCCTTTTCTTCTTTCTCTTTTTGGAAAGTTAATTCTGTGTATAGCGAGTTTTTAAAGTCCTTTTTTAACGGTTAAATTAGGCGTTTTTACATTTATATCTAGCGAGTTTTCAAAAAATCAGCCTAGCGGTTTAGCTGAAATATCAACGGCAACACTGTGTCCGTATCTATCGCGTCTATAAAATCTAAAAAAAAATGTTTGCATGTTCTCATAACTAACTTTTAATGGAAGGGTGGAAGACTATGTAATTCTCTCGTGCGGATGGGTTTTCCTTTGGCCGATAGGAATGGAAAAGTTTAGGAAAAAAGAAAATGATACTAGCGTTTTCCACAAAGGATTTGCGAGCGTGGTAAACCTTTTCAATGTTTCTCTTTCGCTCGCTCTCGCTGTTGTGTCGTGTCTCTCTCTCTCTCTCTCTCTCTCAGATTTCAATCTCGTTTTTTTCTTTTATTCTTTCTTTCCTCTTTCTTTTTGTCTTTTGCTCTCTCTCTTCTCTCTGTCTCTGCTTCTCTCTTCTCTTCTCTGTCTGTCTGTCTGTCTGTCTCTCTGATCTCTCTCTCTCTCTCCTCTCTCTCTCTCTCTCTCTCTCTCCTCTCTCTCTCTCTCTCTCTCTCGTCCTCTCTCTCTTCTCTCTCTCCTTTTCCAGTCTCCCTGCTTCTCTTCCTCCTTTCTTCCCACCCCTCCCTTCCCTTCTCTCCTTCCTCCCTCCCCTCCTTCCTTCCCTCTCTCCCCCTTTCCCTCCTCCTCCCTCTCTTCTCTCTCTCTCTCTCTCTCTCTCTCTCTCTTCCTCCTCTCCCTATTCCCTCCCAACGACACGAAGAAAATCTGGAAGCTTCCATGGCGGAGAATCCAATCCCGTTCGTTTTAGGCGCCTCTTCCTTCTCTCTCTCTCTCTCTCTCTCTCTCTCTCTCTCTCTCTCTCCCTCTCTCTCTCTCTCTCTCTCTCTTCCTCCTCTCCCTATTCCCTCCCAACGACACGAAGAAAATCTGGAAGCTTCCATGGCGGAGAATCCAATCCCGTTCGTTTTAGGCGCTTGGTTCAGTGATCCTCTCGATGGCCTGCTGCTTGGATCGCCTCTCGGGCGGTTGGAGTCACGGCGGCTGGGCGGACCTCCCTTCTCGCGCGCGCTTTGGGGGGTTCCCGAGCTTTTTTTTTGGGGGGGGGAGGAGGGTTCTTTGCGGTTTTATTGTTTTTTTTCCGTTTTTTTTTTTTTTTTTTTTTTTTTTTTTTTTTTTTTTTTTTTTTTTTTGTTCCCGCGCTTTTTTGGGTTTGGGTTTTTTTTTTGGGTTTCCCGCGCTTTTTTTTTTTTTTTTTTTTTGAGGGGGGGGGTTCGTTTGCCGTTTATTGTTTTTTTTTCCGCTTTTTTTTTTTTTTTTTTTTTTTTTTTTGTTTTTTTTTTTTTGTTGTTCCCCGCTTTGGTTTTGGGGTTTTGAGTTTCCTGCGCTTTTTTT